AATTTGTTTTTAAAATTCTGTCTCTGAGTGGGAATGCACCTACAATGTGAATTTCAGACCCCTCCATGATTTCTAAGTGGGAGAACTTGCAAAATCGCAGGGTGTTCAAATACTTCTGTTCCTCACTGTATTTACTTGATTTACTGGGAGTGATGGTGAACTGAAAACCTGTTGGCATGTTCAGCCCACTGGAGACGGTGTAATCTGTCTGAACAGAACTAAAACACAAATAGACACAAAATGAGCCATGTCACAAATGAGTGAGGAATCACGGGGACACTGCTGTTTTGTCTCAGGGATGCGAAAGGAGCGCGGAAGCTTGAGGAACTCCCAGACGAGGCGACTGACCCGTCTGTCCGCACAGAGCAGAACTGGTGGATCAAAGCCTAAAACTGGACCAGCGGGCGCGCTGTTAATCGAGCCCCACCCACCCTCTCTGACCCCAGAGCAGCTGATCGAGCGAATAATGGAGGCAGAGCCGCCTGAGATCTACCTCATGAAGGACATGAGGAGGCCGCTGTCCGAAGCAGACATCATGATGTTGCTCACCAACCTGGCGGACAAGGAACTGGTTCACATGATCAGCTGGGCCAAGAAGATTCCAGGTGAGTGTTAATGCAACTTTTAAGGTCTGAGACCTTCTGTGCTTTTTGTGATCTGTCTTTGTTGTGTTCGTTTTTTTAGTGTTTTTGCCAGAAAATTGACAATAAGTGGAAATAAAATTTTTTTTGACCTCATGGCTCTGACACTGAGTGTACACCGAGTTCACTGCTCCTCCCTCAGGAAGAACTTCCATACAGCCTGTGTTGGACGTTTAGGTTCTTATTAGTCGTGTCCTTGTGTTGCTGCTGCTTTTTACCATCTGTTCTGTATTGTGACCTTATGCAGAAGCCTAATTGACTTTTTGGATTTGAATCATTAGTCAGGTCACTGTGATGTGAAAGCATCTTTTTTTCTTCTCATAGGCAGCACACATTTATTTTGGATTGTGCCCTTTCCTCAGGGTTTGTTGAGCTCAACCTCCTGGACCAGGTGCACCTGTTGGAGTGCTGCTGGCTGGAGGTGCTGATAATCGGACTGATGTGGAGGTCAGTGGACCATCCAGGGAAGCTCATCTTCTCACCTGACCTCAGCCTGAGCAGGTACCACTGCCACTCTATCTCACTGACATGATTAAAGGGTATTTCAGGTTTATTACAACTAGGGTGTAATTTCAGTCGGTTATGATCATGTGTGATGTGAACTCGCGCGTTTAGAAAAAAGTACCTGTGGGTTTCCATTCAGCATTGCTGCTGATGAACAGATGAAGACATACTCCTCCACATGAGCCAGCCAGTAACAGGTCTTTACAGTTTCAACAGTATGTATCATGCGAGACTGTGTGGTCCAGAATTCATGTTTTAAATTGTGATCACTGGCTGGTATCTGTCTTTTTTTAGTATGATTGGGCTCAAAAATCCGTCCATTCTTATTCAGTGTGATTTGGACCACACTGGTGATAAAGACCTAGCTTCTGTTCCTTTTACTCTTGTTCGTGATTTATTTCCCCAGCTGAGTATTCACTGTGTGTGACTTTCAGGAAGATTGGATCTTGATCACTTTTTTTTTTTAATCAGATACAAATGGCAGAATGTTTTAATCACAGGGAGGAACTGATGTGTGAGTGGGAAATGTTCTCTTCCACAGCAGCATCAATGAGAAACTGAATATAAATGTGCAGCTCTGCAGCCCTGGTTACACCTGTGTGCGTATTTGGTTAAAACCAATAGACACAGGCGGTTTCAAAACCTCAAGCAGTGTCTGGAGCTCTGCAGCCAAAAACATGTTTTCACTGTGGGAAAACATCGGGTCCTTTTGTGGTAGAATCAGCTTTATTGGCCAGGTACATTGAACACACAAAGAATCTGGTACAGTGGCTCCTAATGTGCTTTTGTAGGCAACAAGAAAAAAATATGCACATTCAAATAGGAAGAAGAAAGAATGTATTAATAAATACAGCTCTCATCACATCATACCTTTGAAATAATGCATTGTGTGACTCCTTGGACAAAGTTCTTGGATAATTAAAAGTAAATTATACTGCAATGTAAACATACAAGTAACTCTGTAGGACATCAAATTCAAATCAATATTAGACTCATTTGTTTGCCAGTAGACAGCTGTCACAGTTTAGCATGACTGTAGCCTGATTTAGACTTGAGCTCACAATTAATTTGCATTAACTTGTTTTTAGTGTGTTAATTAAACAGTCTCTCTTTC